CCACTGCAGGCACCTGCTGGGTTTGGTTGTTTGCAGGGCAGGCAGAGAAAGAAAGCAGGTCCCGCAGTTTCTCCCGCCTTGGAGAGAGGCTTTTCTGACCAAGTCCCTTGGGGTTACATGCCTCCCCAAATCCCGCTGCTGCTCTCTGCTTGCCTCCATGTGTCCCAGGGCATCTTTGGCAGGCCATGCAGCTGCCATGAGAGCCTCCTCTTCCCTCTCCCCATGCAGCCGCCTCTGCTCCTGGAGCTGGCAGCCCATCCAATTCCTTGTAGAGAAAGGGGTGCCCCTGCATTCCTGATGATGGGGGAGGGGCACAGCCAACATGGGAGGAGTCCACCTGCTGTTTGTTGTCCGTCTTCTGTGTCTTCTGTGGCATGGACTCTGTGTCCTGTGCACGCCAGAGACCCCTGTGCTACAAATGCGAGTCCACTTGGAATGAATGCGCCTGGAAAGGGGCGCATGCTCTTATTGCTCTGGGACTGGCTAGAGGGTGCATCCATTTGCAGTGTTTTGGCAGGTCTGTAGCAGACTTGAAGATGTCACTTATAATGCTTCTTGGCTGGTACATCTGCTTGCTCACTGACCACCCATGGACTGGGTGTGGGACATGGGAAGCTATTAACTATACAGAGCTGGTAGTTGGTTGGAACAGCAGGCACAGGTGATGTCCATGCTGGGCTGCTTAGTGGACAAATAGAGGCATGAAGGAGGTCAAACTCGGACGGGAGAAGCCCACTGCAGGGACCTGGCCTCTCACCTGTGGCCTGTGGAATGGAGGTCTTTTATTCTTCACCATCCATCACTTTGTCTCTGGGGTTTCAGCAGCGGAACTCAGCTCCATGGTTGGGAGTGCTGGATGGAGGATGTGTCTTCCTTGGGGTGCGTGCTTCTGGGGAGGGTGGCAGGAGGGAAGAGGGACATGACGCATGGATGGAAGGCCCAGGGCTGGAGCCTAGGCATGGGTTGTAGAGAGGGGCAGAGGGGGCCACTGGCAGCTGAACCAGCCTGGGGTGGGAGGGTGCCTTAGCCACACTGTGGAGCAGTGGGGACCACTGGCGGCTGAACCAGCCTGGGGTGGGAGGGCGCCTTAGCCACACTGGGGCAGTAGGAAATGATTTCCATTGATCCAGCATATGCCTGTTGCTGGCCTGATGTGTGCAAGCCTGAGGATGCAAGGCCCTTGCTCCTAGAGAACCAGGCATGGGTGTGGGGGAGTCGACATAGCAGAAGGAGGTGCCAGTCGCAGTCCAAGGCAGCAGACCCTCTGACCACCAACATGGCAGGGACCAAGTCCTCATCATGCCCCCCACCCCAGGCTGACCTCTAGCTGTCCACACAGATAGTGTTTCCTCCCTCTATGCCCACAGGTAGCGAGGGCCCCATCACGGCAGGTGCCTGTGTACTTATAAGGACCCTGGGAACCAAGACAAGGCCCTGGGTAGGTTATGCTTAAGGCTAGGTCTCCTCAGCACTGGGACCTTGCCATGTCCTTCGCAGATGAATTCTGGCCTAACTTTTCTTTGCATTACTATGCCTCTCCTCCAAACCCACCAGTGATCAGACTGCCAGCCCTCTGAGGTCACCATGCAGGTTACAGCAATGCTGGAGCGTGTTGGGGACCAGCCCATGAACAGCCAAGTGAAGGTGGGAAGGGTGTCCTGGTCCTGGAGAGCCACAATGCCCTGCCTGGGAGGTGGGACTGTCAGAGCTGCTGGCTTTTCCCTTCTGGCTAGGAGCCTTCATTGTCCAGCCGGCTGCTGCCTCCGCCCTATAGTGTGGGGTTGCCTCCCTCCTGGACCGAATCTCCTAAGAGCTGTTTATGGGAGTGCAGTGGGCAGGTGTCTGTAGGAAGAGACAGGGCTTGAATGGTGACACAGGCTGTGAGGTTTGATCCTCCGGTCCCGGTCAGGTTCTTGATAGTGATGCCACTTTGATAGAAGACCTGGCTACTGGCTTGTTTCTGCAGATGGTGGTCTGTGGGGCTGAAGCCGAGTCAGGTCACCTGTGCCCCCCAGCCAGGGTGGCCACCTGCCCTGCACTTTGCACAGAGCTCAGTGGATTCCCCGGGGGCTGTGGGACCCTGAGGGCTGAAGCCAGGACAGGTCCAGGCACAACACCCACCCTCTTACTCCTCCCTCATGGCCCTACTGAAGCTTGTGAGATGCCGCCAGCTGAGGAAGGCTCTGGAAGAAAGGGAGAAGTCGTTCTTCCCCCGCTCTTTTCTTCTGTCCTTCGTCTACCTTGTACTTTGTCCGTCTTGCTTTGTGACCAGCAGAGGAGGCTCCCTGGGCTGCCGCTGTTACATCCTAGACATAGGAAAGGAGCACTTGGCACTTTGAGTGGTCACCTCGTAGTGGGCGGCTTCAGACATGAGGTTTGCCACGATGCTTCGCATCTCGGTTGAGCCTTGGATTTGGTCGCCTGTGCAGGACATTTTGTAGCCCAGATGTGAAACTCTTGCTTTGCGATTTGCACAGGAGCAGAAGTACCCCTCTCAGTTACAGCTAATGTGTGTACCTGGGACCCTGTTCCCACCACAGTCCGTGCCAGGGAAACATCTCAGCTTGGAAGGCACTGCTGCTGAGCAGGGGCCTGGGAAGGAAGGAATGGAGCTAGTGTGCTGGTGCAGTGGATTAGCCACTGCCCACATCACGAACATTCCATGTGAGCACAGGTTAGAACCCAAGCTGCTTCATTTCCAATGCAGCCCTCTGCTAATGCGGCTGGGAGAGCAGTGAAGGGTCAATGGCTTCAGAGGTTAGGTCCCTGCACCCATGCTAGGGACCTGGGTTGTGCCCCTCGATGCTGGCTCTGGCCTGGCCCACACACTGGCCATTGTGCCCATCTCAGGAGTCAATCAGTCAATGGAAATTTCTTTCTCTCCTTTTCTTTCTTTTTCTCTCTTCCTTCCTTCCTGCCTACGTCTTTCTCTTTTCTCTCTCTTTCTTCCTCTCCCTCCCTCCCTTCTTTTCTCCTCCCCTTCCTTCGTCCCTTCCTTCCTTTCTGCCTAGCTGCCTTTCTTTCTTGCTTTCCTTGTCTCTCATCTCCCTCCTCTCCTCTCTCCTTGCCTTTCAAATAATATATATATATAGAAAAAAGGAAAGAATACACATGACTTAGAAGAAGTGGCGAGGCGGGAATATCTGACTTCACGGGAGTCATTTCCATGTTTTTATTTGTTTGCTTTTTCCTGATGTAAACCTGATGTGGTTCAACTCTTTAAAGTCATTGGAATGAATTCTACAAAGCGTTCCTTCTTTTTACAAGAGCTTTAGTGGAAACAAACAGAAGTTAGCCTAGAGAGAGTCCGGTGGCCGCCGGCCACTAGCACACCTGTTCGCTGGCTCTCATAAAGCAACAGGGACTAGGAGCTGACCGGAGGAATGACCGGTAGAGTCTAGCTGAAAGAATGTGGGTGTATGTGTCGGTGGTGGTGACGAGGGGGGATCACCGTCTTATTCTCACACACGTCGAGGGGTGCTCCGTGTCTCTGTGCGGGAGCCAGGCGTGCCCACTACCTACCTGGGAAGTTGGATTTGTGTCCCCGGTCCCCCCAGCCTCCGAAAAAAACAGGATCCCTGCTGGATGCCCAGGAAGCTTATGCTGAGTAAATATTGACAAAGTACTCTAAAGAGCAAACACTTTGACATTTGTAAGGTCCACTGGAAGGTCTTGTATATATTTATACAGCAGGCATGAGCAGCGCATACCAATGTCCCTGAACTTGTTCTGACATAGCTCTGTGTGAAGTGCAGAGCACATGCGTCCAGGTGGCCGGAAGCAGCCCAGCGCCGTCCTGGAGCACAGACTGGGGTGAGGTCGTCTCCTGATCAGAACTGACAGCGCTTTTCAAAAGGAAGGGAGAGTACACAGAGAGACCTTTCAGCCACTGGTTTCTCCTCTGGAAGGCTTCGATGGCCAGAGAAGAACTGGCCTGGAGGCAGGAGGAGTGAGGAACTTCTTCCAGGTGCCCCGTGTGAGAGTAGGTGCTCAAGCACTTGGGCCATCATTCTGCTGCTGTCCCAGGTGCCTGAGCAGGGAGCTGTATTAGCAGTGGAGTAGCCGGGACTTGAACTGGTGGTGCTATGGAATGGTGGCGCTGCAGGTGGCCGCCTCACTCACTCACTCTGCCACAGTGCCAGCCCTCAACGCTCTGTTCCGGGAGGAACCTTGATCCGAGCATTTGCTGAGAGCTGCTTTTCCAGAAGGAAGGAAGAAAAAAACCCGTTTTCCATGTACTGCTATTGACGTACTTTTCTTCTTTTCCTTGGTACAAATTTTATTGATGTTTTGGTACTTTATTAAAGATTGAGCCTCAAAAAATGTAATGAGTAAAAAATGCTTGCTTAATTTAAATTGTGAATCTGTCTGTTAAGAAATGCATTAGGGGTAGGAGAAGCATAAGACATATTAATTGACAGACAGGAACTGCTGTCTCTGAGGTTGATACAAGTAATTTATTACTTTAGAAATGAATGCCACCTCCAGAATGTGCTTCATTAATTTCAAATTTAGTTTTAATTTCAAGCTGTTGCCCCTTGAGAAGAATAAGGTGGCAAATTATGTTTGAAGAGCAGATTTTTTTTTTCCTTTTGCTCCAAAGAAACACCACATTTTAACTATTTAATTTTATAAATAACCGTGCCCGCTGAGTTTGCTTGTGTGTTCCCGAGAGCCGGGAGCGGATGTGCCGAGAGTCTCACTGAACTAATGCTTTCGTTTCCTTTCTCTCCTTCTGCCCTCTTCTCGCCTCTCTGCGCTGCCCGGCCCGCTGGCTTGCCCACCTGTTAATCCCGGCAGCCTATGTTTCGGATGAACTCAAGGCAGCCGCCCTGGTAGATGAAGATACGGGGCCGGAAGAGCAGCCGGCAGATGGAGAGCCGGCGGCCAAGTACCTGTGCCCGGACAAGGAGCTTGGCAAGACCTGCCCCAGCTACCAGAACTCCCCAGCGGCGGAGTTTTCCAGCCATGAACTGGACAGCGAGTCGCACATCAGCGAGACCAGCGACCGAATGGCTGACTTTGAGAGCGGGTCCATTAAGAATGAAGAGGAGACCAAGGAGGTGCCGGTGCCGCTGGAGGACACGACTGTGTCCGACAGCCTGGAGCAGATGAAGGCCGTGTACAACAACTTCCTGTCCAACTCCTACTGGTCCAACCTCAACCTCAACCTGCACCAGCCCTCGTCGGAGAACAACGGCAGCAGTAGCAGCAGCAGCAGTAGCAGCAGCAGCTGCGGCAGCGGCAGCTTCGACTGGCACCAGAGCGCCATGGCCAAGACCCTGCAGCAGGTGTCACAGAGCCGCATGCTGCCGGAGCCCAGCCTCTTCAGCACAGTACAGCTGTACCGGCAGAGCAGCAAACTCTACGGCTCCATCTTCACCGGCGCCAGCAAGTTCCGCTGCAAAGACTGCAGCGCCGCCTACGACACGCTGGTGGAGCTGACGGTGCACATGAACGAGACCGGCCACTACCGAGATGACAACCACGAGACCGACAATAACAACCCCAGGCGCTGGTCCAAGCCCCGCAAGCGTTCCTTGCTGGAGATGGAAGGCAAGGAAGACGCCCAGAAGGTGTTGAAGTGCATGTACTGTGGCCATTCCTTTGAGTCCCTGCAAGACCTGAGCGTCCACATGATCAAAACGAAACACTACCAAAAAGTGCCTCTGAAGGAGCCTGTCACTCCCGTCGCAGCCAAAATCATCCCCACCCGGAAGAAGGCTCCGCTGGAGCTCGAGCTGCCCAGCTCCCCGGACTCCACGGGCGGCACTCCCAAAGCCCCCGCGGCGGACGCCAACGACGCGCTTCAGAAGAACTCCAACCCTTACATCACGCCAAATAACCGCTATGGCCACCAGAACGGGGCCAGCTACGCGTGGCACTTCGAGGCGCGCAAGTCGCAGATCCTCAAGTGCATGGAGTGTGGCAGCTCCCACGACACGCTGCAGGAGCTCACGGCGCACATGATGGTCACCGGCCACTTCATCAAGGTCACCAACTCGGCCATGAAGAAGGGAAAGCCCATCATGGAGACGCCTGTCACGCCCTCCGTCGCCACCCTGCTGGATGAGAAGGTGCAGTCCGTGCCCCTGGCGGCCACCACCTTCACGTCCCCCTCCAACACCCCCGCCAGCATCTCGCCCAAGCTGAACGTGGTGGAGGTCAAGAAGGAAGTGGACAAGGACAAGGCGGGCACCCCAGAGGAAAAGCCCAAGGAGAAGGAAAAGGCGAGTGAGGAGGAGGAGAAATACGACATCTCCTCCAAGTACCATTACTTGACCGAGAACGACCTGGAAGAGAGCCCCAAAGGGGGCCTCGATATCCTCAAGTCCCTGGAGAACACCGTGACATCCGCCATCAACAAAGCCCAGAATGGCACCCCGAGCTGGGGGGGCTACCCCAGCATCCACGCTGCCTATCAGCTCCCCAACATGATGAAACTGTCTCTGGGCTCGGCGGCGGGCAAGGGCACGCCCCTGAAACCCATGTTTGGCAACAGCGAACTCGTGTCCCCCACCAAGAGCCAGAACCTGGTCTCTCCGCCCAGCAGCCAGACCTCCCCCATGCCCAAGACCAACTTCCACGCTATGGAGGAGCTGGTGAAAAAAGTCACCGAGAAGGTGGCCAAGGTCGAGGAGAAGATGAAGGAGCCGGAGGGCAAGCTGTCCCCGCCCAAGCGGGCCACGCCTTCTCCGTGCAGCAGCGAGCTCAGCGAGCCTGTCAAGCTGGAGGCAGCCAGCGACGGGGGCTTCAAGAGCCAGGACAGCAGCAGCCCCAGCCCCCCACGGGAGGGCACCAAGGAGGGCAGTCCCAGGGCCGAGCCCGTGGAGAACGGCAAGGCCCTGGGGCAGCCCCTCGCCGGAGGTCTGAGTGGCAGTACCGCCATCATCACGGACCACCCGCCCGAGCAGCCCTTTGTGAACCCTCTGAGTGCCCTGCAGTCGGTCATGAACATCCACCTGGGCAAGGCGGCCAAGCCCTCGCTGCCCGCGCTAGACCCCATGAGCATGCTCTTCAAGATGAGCAACAGCCTGGCCGAGAAGGCGGCCGTGGCCACCCCACCGCCCCTGCAGGCCAAGAAGGCGGATCACCTGGACCGCTATTTCTACCACGTGAGCAACGATCAACCCATAGACCTGACCAAAGGCAAGGGTGACAAGGGCTGCCCTTTGGGGTCGGTGCTTCTGTCCCCCACGTCCACGGCCCCGGCCACCTCCTCCTCCTCCTCCTCCACGGTTGCCACAACAACGGCCAAGACGGCCGCCGCCGCTGTGGTGTCCTTCATGTCCAACTCGCCGCTGCGTGAGAACGCCTTGTCGGACATATCCGACATGCTCAAGAACTTGACCGAGAGCCACACGTCGAAGTCGTCCACGCCCTCCAGCATCTCTGAGAAGTCCGACCTCGATGGGGCCACTCTGGAGGAGGCCGAGGAGGCGACGCCAGCGCAGAAGAGGAAGGGCCGCCAGTCCAACTGGAACCCCCAGCACCTGCTCATCCTCCAGGCCCAGTTTGCCGCCAGCTTGCGACAGACCTCAGAAGGCAAGTACATCATGTCCGACCTGAGCCCCCAGGAGCGGATGCACATCTCCCGGTTCACTGGTCTCTCTATGACCACCATCAGCCACTGGCTGGCCAATGTGAAATACCAGCTCCGAAGGACAGGTGGAACAAAGTTCCTCAAGAACCTGGACACAGGCCATCCCGTGTTCTTTTGTAACGACTGTGCGTCCCAAATCAGGACTCCCTCCACATATATCAGCCACCTGGAGTCACACCTGGGCTTCCGGCTCCGGGACTTATCCAAACTCTCCAGCGAACAGATTAGCAATCAGATAGCACAAACCAAGTCGCCGTCAGAAAAACTGGTGACGTCCTCCCCAGAGGAGGACCTGGGGACCTCTTACCAGTGCAAGCTCTGCAACCGGACCTTTGCCAGTAAACATGCGGTGAAACTTCACCTTAGCAAAACGCACGGGAAGTCGCCCGAAGACCACCTCCTGTATGTGTCCGAGCTGGAGAAGCAGTAGCGTTTGCTCGGAGGGAAAAACTCGTCGAAGGCACCTTAAGGCCCCCCCATCTTCCCCTCCCTTCCCCCCCCACCCCCCGTCTGGTTCTTGGCACACGTTCTTGTTTCCACTGCGGAGAAAGCAGCGCTCTGGGGCTCGGCTGTTTTGTAATGGCTGTACAGTGTTTCCTAGAGGCTCAGCAGCAGCTGCTGCTCCTGGTGAACTAGGAAGGTTAAGGCGCAGTGCTCAGTGTTTGGAACTTTGTGTAAATGGGATTTAGTTGTGAGTCTCCCTCCCCGATGCTTCAAGCTGCATGCATTCAGACAGTTGAGTTAAGCATTTATAAGGAAACTGGGCGCACTTTCGCCAGGAGACCCGAGAGTGCTGGCGTCTCTCCCCTTTCATCTTCAGCCCTCCAAGTACTTTGAAGCACTTTTGCATTAATTTGGTTAAAAAATAAAATGAAAGAATACTAATGTATGAAGCTCTGTTTTTTAAACTCCTTACCAGCTTAGTTATAAAGAGTACTACGAACCTCCATTTATGCAGGTCTGCAGGGGTATAACACGCCTTGAAATTTAAAAGAATATTATTTTCACATTGAAACATAGATGTATATATTGTATAGATTTCAGACTCTTATGGAAAAAAAAATGTGATTGTGGTTAAATGACCTTTTTTCTTTTCTTTGCATTTATAACAACAATGTTTTATGTACTCTGCTATGCTCCGGGCATAAGCTGTGCCTCTGTATAGTGTAAAATTCTTTCTTTCTTCCTTTTTTTTTTTTTTAAGGTCTATGGATTTTGTTTTGTTTTTACATGCAAACATTGTAAATTATACAGAAGATACCACAGATAGCATTTATAAAGTATACAGAAACATTATCTGAAAGCAAAGTATGATTGTTTGTTTTGCTTTACAGTACATTTATATTGATAGAAGTTCATGTTTAAATTATACATATTTATTAGCATCAGATGATCATTTGTCCCGACCAGTCTGAACAGACGAGGCCAGGAGATACGTCCCTGGCTGGCATCCTAACTATTTTGCACATGATTTTTAAAAAGGTATTTATTAAGAAATCAAAGAACACTCAAAAAACTCAGTGCTCAAAGGGTTAAGTCTATTTGAAAAGGGGGGGGGGGAAAGGACAAAAAAAAAAACAAAAAAAAAAAAACAAAAAAAGAACTTGTACTGTATTTCCTAAACATTGATAAAGCCTTTAAAATGTTTGTACTGTAATACTTTGCTTAAAAGTCACACGGCATCCTGAGATGCAGTCTCTTATTTATAAGCCTTTTCGGTTGTGCCGTTCCAGACTGAAGGATGCCTTTTGATTTCAACCGGTAACTTTCTGTTTTGTTCTTCCTAATTATTCTCCCAAGATCCCACGCTGCAGCTTTATCTTTAGGCTTATGAAAGGTAACCCGTGGTTACCGGCTCTCCGAGTGGTTCTGTTCCTCTCCGTTTTTGGCAGTTAATTTGCAGCACTAACTGACAGCTGACACCGTGCAAGAACTTATGTATAAAATATTGGCATGTAAACAGCACAGGCATCGTGACACACTCCGTGCCCTGTTTTCCTTGTTGACAATGACTCTTCATAGAACCCTTTTTTTTCTATGGCGGTATTAAAATGGTCTTTTTGCTATAATTTTGTGTTGCGTTCACAATTATGTCTGAAATGTGCTACGACTAACGAGCACATTAAAATTAAATTGTATGCGATCTGTTTACGGCTGGGTTGGTTGCTGCGTCTGCCAGGTGCTGGCAGTCGGAAGCGGCACGTGAGTCAGGAGAGTTTTGGTGAACTTTGGTGGAGGCTGAGCAGGCAGTGACCGACTGGAGGCCGCTGGGGCAGCGCTGGCCCCGCAAGGATAAAAGTGTGCAGAAGAAAAGACAGGACCTAGAATCTTCCACGGAAAGGTGGTGTCAGAAGATGCACTTCCTGACACCTGCGACAACTCAGGTAGGGCCCCCCCCAAGCTCCCCCAGAGTGGAGGGGTACAGTCTAGGCAAGCAGAGGAGTCGTGGTTCTGAGTGGCGAACGGGAGGCTGAGCTTGGATTTGAGTGCTGATTTTCACATAGCAGGAGCCAGAGCCAAAGCAGGCGCAGACTTTGGGGGTCCACCAGCTTTCACGCGTGTGCCAAGGCAGCCAGGGATCCCGAGGTTGGGGGTGGTGCTATGCGCTACGAGAGGAGAGGGAACCCAGCCACCAGAGGAGGGGGGGGACATTTATATGATAATCGTGGGCTTTTATTGGCCCCGGCAAATCATGCCAACAAAACGCTGGGAACATCATGTAAAATTGTAAAATACCTTTATTACTGTATTCAAACCACTCCCGCAGTTAGGCGGAATCTTCTCTCCTAACCTAGAATTACACAAATGAGAGATATATTACATCCGTGTAATACATAAAACACCTCAACTTAAAAAAAAAAAACTCCCTTTTATTAAAAATGTAAATTAAGCCCTTTTGGAGATGTTCTGCAACACGCCCACGGCTTTCCGATCATCCCCACCCCTTTTTGTCAAGATGGGTCTGGGTTTTCTGTCTCTTCTGTTTTTTCTTAGGCATTCCTTCCCTCTCCGCCCCAGAGTTTCCAGAGAGAGAGAGAACCTCGCTGTGGCTTAAAACAAGCTCTTGGCTTACAGTGAGCACTGGCTCTGCCCTTGCCTGGCACTGCGGGCCTCCACATGGGCCGGGTGCGTGGGCAGGCTGTGGGGAGCGTGCAGTCTCCTCTGGTCCCCGTTGCCCACCTGCCATGGGGCCAGCCGTGCTCTGCCTGCAGCAGTTCTTTGCTCTGCCAGCTAATGTCACCTGAGTCACCTTAGAGGAGCCGATGGAGGCCAACTTCCCTCCCCAGCCCTCCATCCCCTGGCGATGGGGGTAGGGTGAGGTGGGACCTGGGACACAGAGAACCCCCCCCTCCCTCCTGTGCCTTCCGCATCCTTCACATCCTGGAGCCCAGATTTCCACTCTTGGATTTTTTCACAGGTTAAATATAGCATCGGTTTATTAGAATCCAAAGTCCTGCATCTAACAGATTAAACTGACAACACTTCCATCACCACCAGGGCCCATGTGGCTTGGAGGGAGATGGGATGGGATCTGCAAGCAATGGGGGAAGCCCCCCTCTCCATGGTTTGGAAGAAGGACTTCTTGCCCTGCCCATCCCACTCTCAGTATTATCTTAAGGGCTTTTCACAACTGGGGCCCGGGGAGGGTTGTGAGGACGGAAACAGATTCATGGTCAAAGTTGGTAGCAGCTGTTGGCTGGTACTTGATGCTTTTTGGGCTCACGGCCAGGAAAGGACTGTTTCCATGTAAGTGGGATCCAGACATCAGATTCACCTCCAAGGACACAGTAAGAGCAGTGAAATACTAGCTATGAGAGCAAACTAATCTAAAAATCATGCAGCAGTAAGATGGAATTTGTGGCAGGGACCCTTAACTCACCTGGAAATTCAGGTCTCTTTTCTCCTTGAGGTCACCAGATCTGTGCCTAACTCAGAGAGAGGGCCACCGCCTGGATGAGCTCTCCCCAACCCCTCCACAACAGTCCTTGCCCCACCACAGCCCGGAGTTGTCCTGATTTCCCTGAGATCAAACAGGACCAAATTGGCATTCGCATCTCTTGTAGTTGGGCATAGGTTGCATGGTTGGTGTTAACAGAGGGTCAGATTTCCCCAGGGATGGGGGAGGGGATGGGATGTTGCAAAGTGAGGGAGATTTCCATCCCAGGTGTACCGGTGACCCTGCCCTCACCCCACCCAGCCTGGGCTGGATGCAGTCCTACTGTATATCTTGTAGCCATCACATTTAGGCAGTATCTTAAAATAACATTGGTGATAAATGTGCAATTTAACTAATTTATGGTGCTGTGATTCGCTCAGGGCTACATGCAAGATGAAAATCTTAAATGGAGCTTGAACAGTTCACTCTGCAACAAGAAATCAATATGCCACATCTTAGCTATTCGCTGCAGTCAACATTTAGCAGAAATATCAGTGATGTATCTTTAAGTTTTAGGCAGCAAGGATTCTATAATTAACCAAAATCTTGCATGTACGTTGGAGAGGATTGGTTATGATGAGGGCCCGTTCTCCCTGGCATCGCCATTCCCACTTCCATGCTGCAGAAAGAAAAAGCAAATGCATCAGGATCTCTTTGACAGGCTTTTATCCTCCGGGTGCCAGGGCTCAGGTGGAGCCTGCTGTCCCAGGAGGTCTGTCCAGGACAGCAGTCCCATATGCCTGCACGAGTGCTTCTGTCAAGTTCACGTCCCTCTGACCAGGTGGGCCTCAGTGCCCCAGTCCCTGCTCACTCTCAGTTTCACAGACTGGCTGAGAACATACGGAGGGGAGAAGGGACCTCCAGGCATCCTTATTAGAAGCTGAATTCTGGAAGGTGGGAGCTGGGAGTTCTAAAGGCATGGGAAGCCCTGAGCAAATCCAGTGTAGAAACAATTTCCAAGTCATCTAATACAGAAATAAATAAATAAAATGATCCTGCTCTTTTTGTTTTTTTAAAGATTCATCTATGCAGTTCTTTTGAGATTGGAAAATTGCAATCACATTTTATTCTGTTGACTATTTAGCACGAAAATAATACACGAATTATCGGAAGCAATCATGAAAGAGAAAACATACTGGCCCAACACCACTCTTTAATAATAAATACTTTAACTTTAAAATAATAGCTATTATCCTCTTCCGCTAATGGAGAAATTACCATTTTTACTCTACCAGATATGCTTTTGGTAATAGAAACGCTAACCTCTTCTCTCCCTGGGGATTTATTAGCGAACACGGGTAATCTTTGGCAAAGGAAAACTGGGACTGCGTTCCCCAGGGGACCCCTGTGCTGGCTGATGCCTTTCAGCCTCTAGCTGACCTTGGGGAACCTGGAGAAGACAAGACAGGTGGCTGCTGCTCCCACGCGATGCCACGGTGTGCCAGTCTTGGTGAACATGCTGTAGTTAGCTGCCGAAGCAGCCTCCCTCGTGG